AGAAAAATAGGGACTTTTACCCCTTCATAAAGCCATATTTTGCCATTGGCCCCCCCAATAATCCTGTGCTAGCTTCACCACTGATTGTAGTAGAATAGTTATCTTCATCGATTTGTTACAATATATTCATTGTGAAATTTCATGAAAGATCCTAAAGTTCTCCAAACACACGTGCCATCTTTTTTCCCAAAAAATCAAAAAAAAAAAGACATACATGCCATCCATACACCACAACGATTGAGGAAGAGAGATCCAAGGCAAGAAAGACGAAATAAGTATTGGGTGGTTCCATGAACACTTTTTGATTCATGAAAGACACGAGCTCCTCCCTTTCCTGAACCCCTAACCTCAAGTTCATCTCTTTCACCACAAACATATCCTTGTGACGGAGTAATCCTATGGGTTCTTGAGGTGCTTTGATTGAAGACATTTGATGGAGTTTCCATCAAGTGACTTTATTTTGCATGTTACTCTTGAAGGGTGTGCGCCCCCTAGTCAGTTAGAAGTCATTTTTAGCCTTAGATTACTTGGTGTGAAGGACTCAAGAGTTTTTAAGGGCACGAAGATCACCTACTTGGAAGGACGGGAAGCCATGATGAAATAGGTTTGTTGTGCTTGGTGGGTCGCTTAGTGGGCGACAGAACGGGGATTCTTGTGATCTTAGAACCATTTGGTTTGAAGCCTCCATCAATGAGAAGTAGGATAGCAAGGTGGGCTCAGCTCTGGTTGGGCCCCCGATCAACCAACGATGTCGATAGCTAGGCAGGGTGGGAACTTTGCAGGAGTGGGCGGAGCGGGTGCTGGGTAGGCGTGACTCAACAAGGGCTGACACGTTCCACGATGTAGATGGAGATGCGGGAGAATGAAGGAGTTGATTAAGTCTCCAAAAGTTACATGCAGGCCCACTTGGGCCGCCAAGTCAACCTGATAGCTGGGTCCCACCGATCAGAAATGTTGTTACAACGAGGTAATACGAAAATCAGTGCTATATGTTACTCGGTGGCCCCTATAGTGGTGGTTAAATGCAATTTGGGGAAACTCGTGGCTTTCTATAACCCAAGCCCCGAATGTGTTTTTTAGAGAAGGCACCCGAATGGCATCTTATAATTGAAATATATCAAGAAAAATAGGAGACGCTGCAATGCAATACAAAACAAGCATCAAAAATAAAATTACATCAAAAAACATACTGGCCGTCTGCTTCCTTCGATTGCACGACACCCATCAGAGTTTGAGAAATGTGCTAAACCAGCAGTAAGGGAAAGGGACACCTGCAAATGCCCTCGCCATACCAAGCTTTGAAGATTGCAATCACCGCTAGAAACGAGATCTAATAACCATTCAAAGAATATTAATTGGGGCATCACCCCACGCAACGCAGGCTTGCCACCCTTCACCACCAGTCTAGAGGGTTGAACAAACCAGACCATGCTACAGAACAACTTGAAAGAAGAGGTCGAAGTCGCCACACCAAGATCTAGCCAACTGCTTCCCTTGATTGACACACCAACTACCCAAATATTAAGTGAGCCAACAAATCTGGCAACATCTACTCTCAGAGGCCCTTTGTCGACGCCGAATCGGACGTCGTCTACGTAGGGAGAGGCTGCAAAGACCTTATTCCACACGCCATCACCGCTGCCAACTCGTCGAGGACATCAGAAAATGAAAACCTAAGGGAACTAAGAACCTACAAGAACTAAGAAGAACGAAAGGGGTGGCTCCCTACCCCTCTTGCCACCGCGAGGCCGTCGAATGGAAGAGAGGAGGACCAAGGCGACAGCATGGAGAAGGCCTTCGATGGCGGCTAGGATTGGGAGGACACGGGCGATGGTAGATAGCTGGAATGAGGTTGTGCTATGCAATTAACTCCAGATTGTTGTGCTCCAAAAACTAGAAATGGACAGGTAACCTTGTGCTCACAAGAATGGAATTCAGCGCAACACACACAATCGAAAAGGTAAAAGAAGATGCTTCTTTCAACCCTTTAAGCTCTCAACGTATACATAATTTCGAAAGGAAGCCAACAAGTGCATGTGTCGATGGTTGGTTTTGAGATAGTTCGCTGGACTTGCCACTAGGTAAGTGCAGATTTGTGTCGATCAACACATGATGCATATCACACATAATTTGATCAGGAGGCCAACAAGTAAAGATTTGTGGTACTAAAGGGGTGTTCGGTAATCCTCCCGATCCGTGAAATTAGAGAATCTGTGGAGCACCTCCTTCCGGAATTCCCCTCCTTCCCCACTCCACGATTTTGAACTGCCGCTCCTCCAGCTCCGGGAGCGGAGTTGTGGAGGGGAGGGAATCCGAACAGGCCCTAAGTAAGGGTTTTTGTGCAGAGTGGGCAGAATTATTTAGTGCCTACCAGCAAGTGAAACCAATTTCCTGTGCATTTGATACAACTGATCGGACTAAATTTTACAAAATTGGAAAATCCAATCTTTTAGAAAGCAATAGGTCTGGACTAAAAATCACAGCTTTGTTAGCATGGTTTACAACAATGGCAAACATAAACAGTACATATTACAGGACTGAGCACCATTCTGTGACTTTAGGGAAAGCATCTTGAGATCATGTTACACAAACACTGCACAGAGGACAGATGGCCAGGTGGGGAAAACACCCTAACAAGTAACAAACACTACGGTCCACAACTATCTGAAGCTATAAATGTGTGATACAAAGTTGAGATGTCAGCATCAGATTCGCTTGAGAAACAGCACCAATTCCATGGATGTCGTTGCTTTGTCATCTTGCGAATTCACTTCCATGAAACGGGCTCATTAGTTTATATGGCTAAAGTCATAAACACCAGTCCTGATGGCTGATGTACAGGAGTGATAGGCAGCTCATCGAAGGTACGGTTTGTTACTGATTACAGCTTCAGTTTGTCCCACCTTCAATATTAGTAGCTTTCTAATGCAGAAAGCTCAACCTCCTTAGTGCAAGGACGGTATGCTGCAAAAGTGCTGTCGTTCGCAAAAGAACCAGGATTGAAGCAAGTGATTCCTGTATATTTGAAGGCCTTCTGCTCACTCTTGTCAGCCAATACTATCTGAAGATTGAAACATGGAAGTATTATCATAAGAACTTTCAAACTTTTATTGGTAGCAGTGTGGACTGACGATAGTTATAAAGCAGAAAGTGTACTTATATTTTGTGCATGTTCAACAAGTATATTAGCAGACATATTCATGGAAGCTAGAGTCAGGAAACATTTCAAGGTGTGGATTACTGATATTTATACAACAGAAGGTATACTTCTGTTTTATGCATGTTCAACACATAAATTAGCACAGAAGCATATTCATGGAAGCTACAGTAAGAAAACATTTCAAGGTGCGAACAGGCTTGTGCTAAATGGCAATACCATGTCAGGAGTTGGATATAGCCGTAGGCAATGATCGTAGTTCCATATAATAGGTTGCACTGTAAGAGGCAATGGACACAGATGACTCTGATGGGTGATAGTTGCTACTAGCTGAAAGAAAAATGATTGGTTAATTTCTGAACAGTCAACATCATATATTCTCACTGAGATAATAAATAAATTTATTCAACTTGCATGTTCAAATGGGTCACTTGTTTCTTCCGTTGTTGGTGGAATCAAGCATGACCGCCGCATCCTGTAAAGGAGATCTTGCCGGAAAAACACTATTTCTTGTGTATAAAACTTAACCCTGGGGAAATCAAGCTCTTATTGGAGTTAGAACAGATGATAAATGGCAAGTCCACAAAGTTCAATATTGTCTTGATCATGAAATGTCAATATGGATGAATGCCATAGTTTGTAGTATACATTCACTGCAAATATATCATTATACAGTAGTCTCAGTTGGCAATGAGTGCATGAAGCCTTTCAAGACTAACTGAAATGCCTGTGCCTCAATGGATAGCACTGAGATGAAAAATCCGGCAAGTTTGGAAAAGTAAACCAAATGAAGATAATACTGCATGCAACAAGTATTATGATAATAGATGCCAGCTAAGAACACAGTTTCACAGTATGGATATTGGTAGACCAGTATAGTATTGTTATTAAGCCTCTTCATCTACCTGTTGCAATTGTGTAGAGATATCTCACAAAAATGAAGATGATAGCTCTGTATTAATCATCAAAATAACTACGGTACACTGATGACAAGTCCAAATAAGAGATTTATGCTTAAACTGGACCAGAGTCACACTGAGAACAACTGGTTGGTACTCCCTCTGATTACAAATGTGAGTCGTTTAAGAATCTGTGGTAGTCAAACATTTTTGGGTTTGACCATCACTATCCAAATAGTTACAAATTTTGACGACATTAAATTGGTATTACTAGAACCATCATGAAATATAATTTCACAATGTGTCATTATTTTTATATGAAGCAACTAACGTTAATAGAAATTGATGGTGGTTGGTCAAAGGTCACCATGGAGACTGTATGTCTGTATCAGTGTCCAAAAGGATTTACATTTGGAATCAGAGAATAACATGTAGCATAATATACAACATGAAAGGAGAGTGGCATCACCTAATCCTGTGAAGGTTTTATTGATATTTTTTAGCTACATACATCAGATTTTCATAATTGATGCACAAAAAGATATCCCTGTATTTGTGTGGTCGCTTATAGCGACATAAACAGATGGTTAACATATGGAACATGGAGAATGATACAAGGCAATGCTTTGTGACAAACCTGCAGGGGTTGCTTACAAATATAGCATTTGGGATGTGCTTCTGAAGTTCCTCAATTAGATACTTTGGGAGCGCACACCTTGGGAGAGCTTTAGAAGGTCCTACAAATGTGTTACTATGTAAGAAAAAACAACATGCCAAGCTTAGGAAAAAACAGAAAACATCACATTCCAGCTATAGGGAGAACTAGACTGACAGTATTTATTATCAACAAGCTCATTCCCAATCCTATTGCAGAAATTTTTCGTTGGTTAAATAGCATGGAGAATAAATAAATGATAATTGGACATATAAAAGAAATAGGCCAGGTTTAATCCATTAGTGAATAAAATGAAAATGGATATTGCAGCAAACCAAACATGCGGATAACAGTAGTTGTCAGGTAAAAGCATGTCATTGAGTTTTAGAATACCTGCATCATCAGGACCAGGAATGAATAAAAAACGACTATGTTCCTTTAACCTAGTTCGAGATGCGATCATCTCACCAAGCTTTCCAAACTGCAATCTACATAAAGTTACATAACTTAGACTTTGTCTTCGATTGGGAAAGCAAACACGCTATAAAACTGTAGATTATATTTCATGAAACAAGTCAGACCTGAGTTCTTCAAACGAATTGAATGCCAGATTGCAGGGCCGGGAGCAGAAATTTCCCATTAGAACAAAGAGAGAAGGAACTACTTCCACACTTTCATAGCCATCAAGAACAACACCCAACTTCTCCATAGTCTACTCCACGAGATAACACATACAAACATCCTGAGAGTATGCTAAACAATATAGTTATATAAAACAAGAATTGATACCAAACTAAATACCTCATAACTGTCGAGCCAAACATCTGAAAGAATGACAAACATGTCATTCACAGCCTTATTTTCTAGTGATGACAATCTTAGCTGTTTAGTGCAAACATAGCAAAACCCATCAGTAAAGATGTTTTCTACGAGACCTATTAGTGACATGTATAACACAATTCCTGAACTTACTGCTTCTTCAGTTGGTATAACACCTCCACCAAAGAAATCAAGACCCATAAGCAGTGAAAGTGATGTTTCTCTGTCCTCTAAGGGAGGAAACCCACAGGTATTGACCTGCAAATGATTGGAACATAACCACTATCAAGACAATAATACAGGAAAACACTGTAGATTTTATGGTGGACAACAGACCTGGAAAATGCCACTTGAAAGTAATTCTCCTTCTGCTACAATCACTGTGTTTTCAACAAAGAAACCTGAAGTGATTTTGTGTTTTATGTAAGGAAAGCGATGCACTTATTGAATAAACATAAATCCATATGGCTAAAACAAAATATTTGTACGAAATATGGATTACTGACGCCAATATGATCAGTATTCTATACTATCCCTTCTAAAATGAGAGGGTTTTTTCGTAGCCTTTCAATGACCAAAGGAACTCAATTATTTTCATTTAGCACAGCACAGACATGCATCTCTATTTTTATATATATGCATGAAGGTAACATGGCAATGGTTCTAAGGATATTGCATTCGCCAAGTCAATTGGCACTGCTCCAGTAAGATCCTCCAAGTAGAACTGGCGTTCCTCCAACTGCGATATGACCCCCATGATCCATCTCCGCCCAGTACACCCAACTAAGGACTGTATGGAAGTAATCTACATGAAGGGGGGAAACTGTACGTCATTTCATATACAATGATTAAAAAAATTGGGGAACAAAAGAGGCTGCACGAAGGTTTTGGGGGGAAAGCACCAAGTATTGGACTACATTGGACTGGGATCACAGAAATCAATCTATAGTAGTAGAAGTAGAACACAACACAATTAAGAGAAATACCTCACAACTTTCATTTTCAGTCATAACAGACTCAAAAGCTGGCTTGGAGAAATATTTATCACGAGCGAGCCTCTGAAGCAGCACTTGATATCTATCCCTGTAAAGGGCGGCTTTATCTCCAGCTTCTCCATGGAGGGCTAATCTTCCAGTATGCCTATATGCACAGTGTAATCGGAAATAGCATCAACAAACATACACACAGCCTGTTTTAGAAAGTCGTGTTTTCTAGTTTAGCATCAAAGAGCAATCAATGTGTCATACTGAATCAGATGCCATCAACTAGAAAGAAACAAATTGATTTAAAGACCAATTCAATCCGCAATCCCTCAGGGCTGAGCTAACAAATTGACCAACTATAAGAAAAAGAAAAACACTAAGCTCCATCAACTATAAGAATCGGATCGGCGGCGCTTCCATCTAACCCGGCAGCCGTCGCCGCCCAGCGCTGCCCCGTCCATTGCGGTCGCCAAGGCAAAGAAGTCCACGCCGGCTGTCGTTGGGAAGGGCAACGCGCAGCCGGCCGCCAAGCCCTTGGTTTGACATCTGGTTAGACCAGCCAACATCGGCTATTCCTTCTTGAAGGCTGCGTCTTGGAGCGTGCATCCATTGCCTGCTAATATGTCATCGTAGGTTTTGTGATATGATTTGGGGATGTTGTGGCAAGGCTTGTCCTATGTGGACAGTCTTAACTTTTTTTTTACTTTTTCCTCTTTCTAAGCTGATTTGTTCGACGTTATTGGCCGTGTGCATCACTAGATGCAGAGGCCGAGGTTCTTCCCCTCTTTCCCCCCAAAAAAATATCAAAGCTATGTCCTGCATCCATTCTGCAAATTACCAATTTCTCGTGGAAGTTCATTTAATATTTAGACGAATCAAGCAGGTAATAGACATCCGTTATCACAATATTCAACTACCAACACCCAAGACTTAAGACACAGGGCAAATTCATAAATCCCGACACCCAATTTCCCAGATCTAAAAGGAAGCGGCAGCATTTACATACTCGTAGAACACTTTCTTGATTGGGTCGTAGTGGAACCGCGGCACGACGAACGAGTCCACCACCCGCAGCGCCGCCTGGACGCTGGTGGCGGAAGGCGATGCCGCGTCGACCGCCTCCTCCGCCTCGACCAGTAGGGACACCACGCGACGGACCGCGTCCCGGTCCAGTATCGACGACTTCACTGCGAGCACCCGCAGAGCACAAAGAGACGCGCGCAGGGTGAGAACCAACCATGGATCGAAGCCTCGGAATGAGGATAGGAGGCAGATGGCCTGAAATCCTGGGGCGAAGCGAGTACTTACGCGGCTCTTTGTCGAGCTCGTCGAGGAGGAGGTCGAGGGCCTCGTCCTCGGCGTCGGGGAAGCGGGCGAGGAAGGCGGCCGCCTCCTCGAGGGCGTCAACTTTGAGGGTGAAGCCACGCAGCCGGAATTTGCGCTGCAGCTTCTTGCGCATGGCTGCCGACGGCGCCGCCATGGGAGAGGGGGGAGGAGGCGAGAGGGAATGGCTGTGGCGGGAAAGGTAGGTTGGGGTTTGGGGAATCTGGCGGGATATCAATTGCAGCGCTCTCGCTGACCTTGAAATATCTGCTGCAGGCTTTGGCCCAGTGGGTTGCCTTGGCAAATTTGGACAATGTTTTGCCCTTTTTTTTAGAGCGCCCCTATATCTCGCCTTCAGCGAGACCTAGGGCCGCTCGCTGAAGGGCAGGCCAAGATGGGCCGGCCCAGGAACGCGGGAGCCCACAGCCTCTTTTCTGTTTTTCATTTTTTTCATTTTTTCAATTTTGTTTATACTTTAAAATATTCTAAACATATATATATATTACAAAAATATATAATTTTTTTAATAAAATGTTGACCAAGCATTTGGAAAATGTTAAATGTGTATAGAAAAAATGTTTACCATGTATATGAAAAATAAAATAAAAAGTGTATAACAAAATTGATCATGTATTTAAAAAATTTCAATCAAGCAATTGATTTTTTTTGAACAAGTATTTGAAAAATGTTGATCAAGCATTTGAAAAATGTTTAAATGTATATAGAAAGAATGTTGACCATGTATTAAAAGATGATGAAATTTTTTGATCATGTATATGAATTTTTTTGATCATGTATTAAAAAAATGTTGAACAAGTATTCGAAAAATGTTAATCAAGCATTTGGAAAAATGTTAAATGTGTATAAAAAAATGTTAACCATGTATTAAATGATGATGAATTTTATATCTGTATATAAAAAAATTAATTAAGTATTTAAAAGAAAGTTTAACAAGTATTCGAAAAATGTTAATCAAGCATTTGGAAAAATGTTAACTGTGTATAGAAAAATGTAATGTGTTAAAAAAAGCATTGAGAAAATGTTTAAATGTGCATAGAAAGAATGTTGACCATGTATTATAAAGTGTTAATCTTGTATTTAAAAAATACTATCAAGAAGAAAATTGTTTAAAATGTGTATAGAAAAAAATTACTATGTATTATAAAAATGTTAAATTTGTATTCCAAAAATATTAGACATGTATTAGAAAAAATGTGTTGACATATATAAAAAATGTACAATGAAAACCAGAAGAAACAAAGAAAACCAAAGAAATGAAAAACAAAATAGACCATAGAAGAAAAAAGAAAACCGAAGAAACAAATGCAAAAAGAAATGGAGGAAAAATAAATGAAACAAAAGGAAGAAAAACAAAGAAGACCAAAAAAATGGTGAAGAAAATTGGCTCTTTTACCTTAAGTAGGTCACGTCCTACGGTTCATCACAAACTCAACACATAGCGCAGTGGACTGCTTCGCTATAAACTATCTAGAAAACCCAGGTTCGAACCCGGCTTCGAGACGCAACAATCCTTCAGGGAGACCTAATGCGAGACATGTTGGAAATATGAGCAATTACCAAATAATTTTGCTAACGGAAATACTAGATAAAGCATGACTAATATAGCAGAGATAAAGCAAGTCATGCAATCTGACAGAGAGAAGGTAGATAGCATCTGCATATATGAAGTTGAACTAAACACATCTAGAACAGACACTAGATGAAGTTGCATATATGAAGTAGAACCTAACATATGTAGGGCAGAAACTAGAGCAAAGAACTGTGGCAGGACTTCTAACAAAAAGAGCAAGAACACGTACGGGACAGCAGCAGCAGAAGCACTAGACTTGGGGTCGACATCCTCTCCAGCCATGTCGTCGATGAGATTGTCGACATTGGGGAAGAAATCATCGTCGGGGAAGTAGTCGTTGGAGTCCGTGATGAAGAAGTCAGTAGTCGCGCGGAGCGCTCCCCAAAAACCTTATCATCATTCTCCCGTACAGGACTCAAAGAGGTGCGATTTCGGAGTCCTACTGTCCCGACCTGCGGTGCACGCCGCAAGCCGGGATGGGGAAGATCGTAGCAGTAGCTCAGTGGTCGGGAACCTGGAGGCGAGAGGGTTGTGTTGTTCTGGTGCGTCTCTCTGGGAGGAGCGACCTCCCTTTTATAGGCGCAACTGAAGGAGGCAAGAGGCTGCGCCGGGAACTGAAGGGAATGAGGGAGACGAAACAAACAGACTTCGGTCGAAGAGGGATTCAGTGTCCACTACAGAAAAACATTTCAGCTCCCCTGAGACCTTTCGTATACCCGTCGTGCGTGGCAAAAATTTAGACATCGGCTCTGTTCATTCCCGCAACCCGCGGCGAGGCGTGGTGTGGTGTGGCGTGGCGAGGCGGGCGACGGAGGAGGAGCGCATGTGGATGTCCCTCTTGTTCTCATGCTCATACATGTGGGGAAAGAACCTCCCTTACAAAGAGGTCCAACTCCCTCTAAACTAGCAATGTGGGACTAAACTTTAGAAGTGCCCCTTGCCTTGCACGAATGGGCTAAGTGGGCCTCTAAGATTTATTAGGAATTTCTGAAATTGTTATTGGGCTGGCCCATAAATAGATAAAATTCCAGCAATCCTCCACCAGATCCTAGAGGCACATAGAATTTGCCTTTAGTTTCAAAACACTGTTTTATAAACCGGTACTGCAGTGGAGACTGTTAAGTTGAACTTCCACCTAGAACTCTATGCTACACTAGTAAGCAACTTGAACAGTGAACCCGGCCTTGAACTGCAAGTTTTCTGCGAATCTAGCTTCACACAATACTGGGTCTTCCCTGCGGATGGAGCTTATGCGTCATACTCCAAGACCTTTCATGAGTTTACTAGAGAGAACCCTACTCTCATAGATTGCGACATTTGACAATCAGACTCATATAGGTGTGTTCTTCAAAAGATGTTCTGCAGGACAACATCTCTGCCTAAATGAGCCTCTTAGAACACATTAAGATATACATCAACCTGCCATGCAAATTTAGGAGAGTATTGCATCTTCATGGAGTGGTATTGTTAATAGTAAGGATACTCTCCTCTCAGTTGATCAACAGCTTGTCTTCCACATCTAATTCACGGGATCTCCGATCACAAAGAATAGGTCACCACTGTGAACAACTCATATTGTGGGTCTCATACCCATCTTCCTTGATGCATTATCTATCACATTACGTGATAGACCCTTAGTAAAAGGATCTGCCAGATTTTTAGACGTTTGGATATAATACAATGCAATAACTCCGGAGTTTCTCATTTTCCTGACAGACTTTAACCTTCTCTGAACATGTCTTGATGACTTCATGTTATCCTTTGAGCTGCTCACTTCGTGATCACAGTTTGATCGTCGTAGTTCATAAGGATACCCGGTACAGGTTTCTCAACAACCGGCAAGTCATTCAAGAGCCGACGAAGCCAATCTGCTTCGACCGTAGCTGTATCTAGTGCTGTGAGTTCTGCTTCCATTGTTGACCTCATTAAGATGGTCTTCTTGCAAGACTTCCAAGAAACAGCGCCACCTCCATGAGTGAATACATATCCATTTGTGGCCTTTATCTCATCAGCATCTGAGATCCAGTTTGAGTCACTATACCCTTCAAGCACCTTTGGGTGCCCAGTGTAGTGAATTCCATAATTAGCAGTGCCTTTCAAATAACGCAAAACTCTCTCTAGAGCTTTCCAATGCACATCTCCTGGTTTTGAGACAAACCGACTCAGTTTGCTAACAGCAAAAGAGATGTCAGGTCTTGTAGCACTGGCTAAGTACATAAGCGAGCCAATAATCTGAGAATATTTCAATTGATCTCTAGCAATTCTTCGATTCTTTCGAAGCAGCACGCTAGCATCATATGGTGTTGGAGAAGGCTTGCAGTCACTATAGCCAAAGCGACTCAAGATCTTTTCCACATAGTGAGTTTGAAGCAATGCAATCCCACCATCATCGTCTCTCAACAACTTGATGTTTAGAATGACATCAGCCACTCCTAAATCCTTCATCTCAAAACAACGAGATAGAAAATCCTTGACCTCCTTATAACACTCAGATTTGTTCCGAAAATCAGTGATGACCCACAAGTATAGGGATCTATCGTAGTCCTTTCGATAAGTAAGAGTGTCGAACCCAACGAGGAGCAGAAGGAAATGATAAGCGGTTTCCAACAAGGTATTCTCTGCAAGTACTGAAATAAGTGGTAACAGATAGTTTTGTGATAGGATAATTTGTAACGAGCAACAAGTAACAAAAGTAAATAAAGTGCAGCAAGGTGGCCCAATCCTTTTTGTAGCAAAGGACAAGCATGGACAAACTCTTATATAGAGAAAAGCGCTCCCGAGGACACATGGGAATATCGTCAAGCTAGTTTTCATCACGATCATATGATTCGCGTTCGGTACTTTGATAATCTGATATGTGGGTGGACCGGTGCTTGGGTGCTGTCCTTACTTGGACAAGCATCCCACTTATGATTAACCTCTATTGCAAGCATCCGCAACTACAACAAAAGTATTAAGGTAAACCTAACCATAGCATGAAACATATGGACTCCTCCCCTTTCCTAGTTGGATTAGGACTTGAGGGGGAAGGAGTGGAGGAGAAGGAAGGAAGGGCGGGGGGCGCCACCCCCCTCTCCTTGTCCTATTCGGACTAGGGGGGAAGGGCGTGCGGCCAGCCCTTGCCTCCTCTCCTCTCTTCCACCTAGGCCCACTAAGGCCCATTTGATTCCCCAGGGGTTCCGGTAACCTCCAGGTACTCCGGTAACCTCCCGGTACTCCGGTAAAATCCCGATTTTACCCGGAACACTTCCGATATCCAAACATGGGCTTCCAATATATCAATCTTGATGTCTCGACCATTTCGAGACTCCTCGTCATGTCCGTGATCACATCCGGGACTCCGAACAACCTTCGGTACATCAAAACATATAAACTCATAATATAACTATCATTATAACGTTAAGCGTGCGGACCCTACGGGTTCGAGAACTATGTAGACATGACCGAGACACGTCTGCGGTCAATAACCAATAGCGGAACCTGGATGCTCATATTGTCTCCTACATATTCTATGAAGATCTTTATCGGTCAGACCGCATAACAACATACGTTGTTCCCTTTGTCAT